ACACACACACACACACACACACACACACACACACACACACACACACACACACTATGGTGGCTGCAGTTTAGAAGCAAAGTGAAACTGCTTCTGCATCAGCAACTGTATTTTTATTCTGTCAATAAATATTTACTGGGCATCTTGCCTTCATGTCTATGAGGCATTCAGATTTGTAATCCATTGCAAATTACATATTATCAGGTTATAGCTCTTAGTCTAACATCACTGAGAACCTTGCTAGAGATAAGCTGATTTGGGGAATTATTAGATTTGTTTATAAACTTATTTACTGATTATTTTTAGAAGTAATCCTCCCAACACACCTCAATCAATGCCTTATGAAACTTGAACAAATCATTCAAAACACATTTAAAAATCCCTACAATGGGCCTTTCTCCCCTAGAACCGTCTTTTATCATTCATTCCCTCTCTGCTTGTTTTTGGCCTCTAATGATTCTATTCATAAGTCTCTTCTCTACAGCCCACAAACCCATTCAGTTTTTCCCATCTTTAAAATGGGTTACCACCAAATTTCCCCCATTTTCAATCAACTAATGGCTTATTCTGTCTGCACTTCCTTACCATACATCCATTTTAGCCTATCACTATTCTGGTTTCTGATTTTACTGAAACTGCCCTTATTAAAGCCACCAATAGCCTCTTGATTACCAAAACGAAAGGATGCATTTTAGTCCTCATTTTACTTAACCTCTCTATTGCACCTGATATTGTTGAGTACGCTTTTCTTGAAATTCTAATAGCAATGCCAAGGTGTTTTGTTCTCTCCATTTTACAAACCACTACTTCTCTTCTTTGCTGGCAGATATCTGTTGAATCTCCAGCCCATATTTATCTTTTATAATCTAGTACCACATATCTAACTACTTATAATACATTCACTTGTATCCTCTAATGAGACAACAAACTCAATACATCCAAAACCTTATTTACCCTCCAACAATTTGCTTCTTCTCCTTAGTGATCTATCTTGGATAGAACTGTCACTATCAACCCAAGTCAGAAATATGGCAGTCATGTTAGAGTCCTCCCGCTTCTTCAAATATATTCTCATTTCTAAACCTCTCTTCTATTACTACTGCAATTAATTTTAGGGCCTCATAATTTCTCAAGCAACAGGTCTCCCTTCCTTCAATTATGACCTTCTAATCCCCTACACTGCTGACAAAATGAAAAGTTTTAAAGACAAATCTAATCATATCATTCACTTGTTTAAAACCCTTGAATGAGTGAGTCCTCCTCACCCTATGGTAAGAATCCTGGGTTTAAATGGAAGCTATCCAATAAAATACCCAAAATTCTGTACCCTGCACATTAAGCATTTTCCTAAGGAAAACCACTGGCCCATAGAATAAACTCCAAATTATAGAGGGTGCAAAAAAAATGTATACACATTTCAAGATAGGTAAAAACTGTATTAAAATTGTAATTATATATATATCAATAACTATACCTTTTTTTTGGCCAAATACTTCAAGTTCTCAAATAGGACTACGCTGCTTCAACTTTTCACACCACTGAATATAAGATTCCCTTTGCCTAGCAGGCCACTCCCCAGTAAACAAATACTCATCTTTCAAGTGTTCTTCCATCTATGAAATCCTCTCTAGTTCCTCTAAGCTATTTTCCCCTACTACACTTTGCCTTTACCTTTATATAGTATTCATCTTATGCATTTTCATATTTGTTTTCTATCTTTTTTCCTTAATAGTTCATAAGGAAAAGACAATGTTTTATTCATGTTTGTGTGCTAGTGCTTACTTAGCTCACCACTGGTATATAATACATACTCAAGTATTAATTGAATATTCATACCACTAACAATGATCTTTTATTAAATGATTCTCCTGTGTAATAAGTTGTTCAAACAGTAATATTTTCTTAAGATTATTCAAAATACATTGCACCTACAATCACTAATAAACTTATTGTTTTAAAATATTAAGAAAAAAGTTGTCTACGTCTGTTTTTAAAAAAGACAATACCAACTGCCTCTTCGTTTAAGTGAAAATTTAAATTATAAATTTAATTATAATCCTAAATGAGATTAAATCTACTAGGTATAAGACTTTTTCTTAACTTTTACATTAGATTAACTTAGTTAAAAGTGATTTTTCTCCTGTAATTTTATATACTCAAATAAAAATTTTCTTAATATTTAAATCTGGAGCTAGGTTTACAGAACCCTAAGTATATACAGTTATGTGTCTTTATAGTTATTTCTGTGAAATGAGTACGATGTTTTCAGGAACCACCAAGTGAAATTTTGGGCGAAAGGTAGGAAACTGTGTGTAGGTAGGAAATCAGATTGAGTACCCGTTAGAGAATTTGAGTTTCTGTGGTACTTTAAAAAACATCCTGTGTAGGTTATTTTAAAAAGGAAATAGGAAGTTCTTACTCTTCACCGCTATATCACTAAAATATAGAGTACAGATGTAAATTTTGCTCGCTATAAAAACTGGCCTGCACACGCTGGACGGATGCCAGCTGCCTATTAATACGCGCCTGAAAAATCAACACTGAAATATGTACTAGGCCATGAAGTCTGGAGGAAATCTGCAGCGCCTGGTGTGAATACACTAACTCCTCCAAGTGGCTGATCACTGCCAAGGTCGAATTAATAAGTCTCCTTTGATGTTAATGATAAGAGTGTTCCCAAGAAAGGACTGAAAACTGACTGCAGGTTGTAGCTTGGAAGTACCTAAAACAAACGTGATGGCGATTCCTAGCATGTGTTTAAGTGGATCCGGCTGACCAGATGCGTTTTGTTAAAAAACCTTTCCACCTCGTCCCACAACCCCCCTCCCTCGCCACCGTCCCCGCCCACTACCCTGACCCACAGTTTATTTTTATCCATTTTTAACTTGGAGCCAATCTTAAAAGCAAATTAAGGAGTGAGCGCTCGTCAAATCACTTGGAAAAGGCACACCCAGCTTTCGAGGGAGCGGCCTGGAGTCAGCACCAGGCAGAAAAGCTCGGGCGGGCCCTTGCCACACCACGCGGAGGCAGCGCGACTCCGGCCCTCCGGGTTTCGGTTAGACCGCAACAGGAAGTTTTCTCTTCCCTTGCGGGAAGCAATGAAGCCAAAGAGAAATTTGAACTCCCACCGGGGCACCGAGAGGTGAGCTTTGGTGTGGGAGGGCGACTCCGCCTGCGATCCAGCAGCGGAGGGACTAGTGATTCAACAGCGACGGCGGCGTCCCCGCCCCGCGCAGGCCCAGGCCGCGGCCTCTCGTGCCCTCCCAGCCCGCCCTGTCCCGTCCCGTCCCCGGGAAAGCGGCAACCTCGGGGTCCGCGCGAGCCCGGCCGCGCCCCCACTTCCGGGGCTCCCCGCCTCCTCGCCGAGGGCGCTGGCCGGGCCGGAACGGGAGCCGGCGCTGCGTCGCGATTCCCGGCCTCGTCGGCGCGGACAGCACTCACCCACTCGAGGACCTTGATGAAGCCGAGCGGCTCCTTGAGCGGGTTGAGGTTGAGCTGGAAGGAGGACATCCTCTGAGGGAAGGAGGGAGAGACAATCAGGACAGCGGGGCGGAGGCAGAGGGGGACCGACCAGACAGTGCAGCCCAGCGGCGTGGAAGGGCAGGAGGGGCGAGCTGCGGGAGGCGGGCCCGGGAGGCCGCGGGGCGGGGCGGCGGCGGTTGAGCCGCTCGCACAGCATTGGGGCGGAGACAGAGAGGGGTGGCCACGGGAGGTGAGGGGTGAGCAGGGGCTGAGAAGGGGAGGAGCCTTCCAAGGCCGCACCTGGCCGAGCCGGCTGATCCGCTGGCGAAACAAATACATGTTGGACGCCATGCTCCGTACACCGGGCCCCCTTCTCTGAAGTGTAGCCCGAGGCGCTCAGTCTCCCCCCGCGCATGCGCATGTCCACCTCCGCGTCTGCGCAGCGAAAGTCGGTTCCCAGTGCAAAGCCCACCCTCGGGGTTTGTCGGGCTCTCACGATGCGGGCAACAACTGTCTTCCACCCGCTTCCCTTCACAGTTCTCAATTTTTAGATAGATTTGTACAATATTGATACAGGTGAAGCCGCGTTTCAAGGCTATGTTAGAGGCCTTTTATTAAAATGGTGGAGGGCTACTGCAGAACAACAGACTTTGGATGGCCGTGATGTAGGTCTTTCAGTAATGTGTTTCACAAAATGTTAGGTCCCCGCTCATTAGCAAAGACCTTAGACAAAGAGTTTTCGTTCTAAAGGCTTTATTAGCCAAGACTGGCGACTGCCTCAGTCTGCAAGAGGAGAACGGCTCCGAAGTCTTGGCGGGTGGGGAATTTATAGCTGAAGCTGGATATAGAAGCGAAAAAAAAGCGGTTAGTGAGTAAAAGGAAAAAAAAAGGTTACTTCATTTTAACAAACTATAAAACATGGCTAGCTTATCTTCTAACGAGCCATAAAACATGGCTAGTTTATTTTCTTCTAACGAGTTATGAACATGGCTAGCTTTTCTTCTAACAAGCTATAAAACATGGCTAGCTTATCTTCTACTACCTTCTTGACAGGACATTCTGTTATGTTTGGCTGAAGCAGGAGTTTTTAAATTCCTCTGGGCGGGGGTACTTTCCGAAATGAGCTTGCCTAGCCTAGGGTCTGGGCCTGGGTCTCCACAAAAACATTCTTACGGAAATTAAATTTATAGTCAGAGTTATCATTGGAACCAGGGTTGAAGGATGTAGGAGAAAAGTTATACCTAATAGAAAAAGGCTTGTCCGGACAGGCTCCTCCTGACTCCCCCACCCTCCTCTCCTACCCTTTTGCTAGTGTCCTCTACTTGGGGCGCTCTTGGTGTCTTTCTATAGAAAACTAATTCCTGCTCCCCCTTAAAGAGTTAGCTTAGGTGACACTTGCCTCCCGGCACCCAGTTATCTGCGATCCGAGGTAATGATCGCCTTATAGACTTCACCAATATCTTGGAAGTTCTTGGAGAGCTGGAATGGTAGCTATTGGCACGTATGGTAAGGTAGCTAACACCATATAACACTTAGTAAATAAGGAGGAAAGGAATTTAGCACAGTAGGATCTCAATACCAAGTTCCAAGTAATTGCCTATATATATTAACTGATTTTCCAAGCTCTTACCTACGAATTAGCAGGTTCCTTGCCGTTGAAGTTGTTCTAGGAGGGTTTGATGACTGTTATTGAAGGTCATTTTGGAAGCTAACCCTTTCTCTTTTGAGACCTATTTACCTCCTTATCTGCTTCCCAGAGAGTGCAAAGAGCACATTTTAGTTTCCTTGTTGACAGAGACAGTCTTTTTCTTTTTATCCTGACTCCCACTGCTCAGTCCCTAGCACAGTGCCCTGTGCTCAGTGGGCACCTTGTGGATGATTGCAGATTCCTTTTACTAAACGAGAAGGCATCACAGATGCCCCTCAGGGCTACATCAGTGGAAAGCAACCATGCATCGATACCCAGTGCACCTGATACCACTATAAGGAATACTTCTTTCTTTTTACTTTGCCTTTGCATCTTTTCTTCCAATTATCAGAGTCCCAAGATAGTGATCTCCTTACTGGCTTTCTTGCTACTCTTCTCTTTAGCCCATTTTTTTCTAAACTTTTATTCCCATTCTTTTGAGGGTTTGGGGCTGGGCACCTGGAGGTGGGTTGTGGCTATTGGTGCTATTTGGCTTGGACTTTATATTCACAAAGATTCAAATTAGACTAATATTATTCCCAAGTGAGATATGCACTGCCAGATCAGAACAAGGTTCACTTTGCAACTTCCAAACTAAAAATCTAACTCTAAATCTATTTATAACTTAAAAAATCTAAATTCTTTGATTTAGTAACCCAGTTTTGGCATTTCTCCAGTTTTTTCCTGTTTTGACGGTCTCAGAAATTGAAATTGGCCCGGCCCTTTCTCAACTCCAGAGATTAACTTTCTATTTCCTGTCTTCTGACTCTGCTGGCTTTCTCTCCTGCTTTGCTTGTTCACACCAACCAGTGGTAGGCATGGTTGCTTCTCTGAAAACCTTTAGTGCTAGAGTACACGCCTTGAACTTTAAAAAGTTCCCTTCCTTGACCATGTGCCAGTATTTAAAAGATAGAAACCACTTACAGTGAACAGAAAAATAGTATCTGGTCAGAACTCATGCACAGGATCTGACTGGGCAAAACAAAGTAGGAGTGAGCTACAGCTGTTACCTTCAGTTTACATATAGCCCAGCACTGCTTCTGCCAGTCAGCTGAGCTCAGAGGAGCTCCCACTTTCCTGAGAAGGAGCTGGTAGTGGCTGGCAGAGCAAGTGAGCTCTGATTAGTCAAGCAGAGGGCTGTGAATTTTTTTCATCCTAAAAAAAAAAAGTGTTTAAACAATAGCATCTCATTGAAGGCACAACTGTTTAAAATCTGGGAAGAATGTTCAGATGACTCTATCACATTTTGACTACAATACTGATTATTTTCTATTTTCAAATCTGAGGAAAGAGCCAAAAGCTCTGGGCATAACATGTTCCACTCTCTCCCAAGGTTGTTACAGCAAATAATACTTGTAATGCAAAATTATCCTATCTGAGGTATTATTATTCAGCCCTATATGGTAGTATAATTATAATGAAGTTACCTACATAATTTGTCATTGTTTTATGTTCTCTTTGCAGTTTATAAAACGTGACAGGTTATGATACTTGGGATTTAAAGATATGCAAGAGGTCAGAAGGAAGCTGTATGTAGGGAAGTAGAATCATTGGCTAACTATAACATTCTTCTGTGTTTCTCAATAATACAAGGTTCTGTTCATTTTATTGGGAAAATAAGACTTTGTAACGCATTCCTAACCTATATGTTTTTTCCCCCCCTGGAAAGGTAGTATTTAATACCAATGAGTACAAAACTTCAGTTTTGCCTATAAACAATTCTTTTCATCGATGAATGCGTCATTTTAGAAAAATCTAAAAATCACTCAGTTTAGATTTACAAAAAAGTTGCAAAGTACAAAGAATTTCTATATACACTTCACCCAGTTTCCCCTATTGCTGTCATCTTCTATAACCAAGATATACGCGTATTTGTCAAAACAAAGATATTCACATTGGTATCTTACTATGAACTAAACTACAGAATTTTTCAAACTTCACCAATTGTCCACTAATGTCTTTTTACTGCTTCAGGATCCAATCCAGAATACCACATTTAATCTAATGAGATCTTTTCTGAAGGGATGGTCAGGAGTGGAGGGAAATGAGTAAGACAAAATCATTTTCCATTTCAGGAGAAAACTGAACAAAATGCATGAAAAGGATTTTGAGTATGTGGCAAGTTGTTTTGACGCCCGTAGCCCCCTCCTGTGTGGCTGCTGCCTGGTTGTCAGCACCTGCTCCACCTTGGCTCCCTTAGGTCTTGGTGTCTCAATTTGTGATGGAGAGCTACTGTGGCATATGATTGTTTCAGGTGTGTGCCCAAAGCCTGGTGTCTGCTCACACACCCTGGAGCCCCACCACCTGCACTAAGTGTAAGTTTCGGGAGAGCAAGGGAGCCCTGTCATTGTTACACAGTCCCTTAGAGCTGGGGTACACTTCAGTGGGCAACAGTGAGGATATGTTTTCAACTTCTGGGTAAATCCTGCCTCTACTTTGTGACCTGCAGCAAGGGCTTTAACCTTCCTAAGTTTCCACTTTTCTCATGCCCATTTTTCAGAGAGGAAGTGAGAGTTGTAGTGAGGTTTAAATTGTATTATCTTCAGAGAGCATATAGGCGAATGCCTGATACAGAGCGAAGCATTTAGTAAGTTACCTGTTATTATCACTTTGTTTCAGAAACAGTGCATAGATCAATCTCTGGATTGGGTAGTCAGGAAGCAACGAAGACTCAATGCTACAGCAGAATTCATTTAAGGAAATCAAACATATTTGTTGGCTAAAAGAGAAATAAGAGTGCTAAAGGAGACGATTCCATTGATAAAAGGAAAGAAATATGAGACTTGGAAATAGAATTCTAGAAAGCAAATAAAATGCAGTTTTTCACTACTGAAAATCATGTGGGGCAAAAGGTTGTTCTAACCTTCTCTATATGGGTCCAATTTTAATCTATTTGTGGCTGAAGTTAGCATGGTTCTCTTCACCATTTTAGCTCACATTTAAGCAATGAGTAAACAGGAAAAATGTTTTAATTGATAGAGGTTAATTTTATAATAATCTTGTTGATGAAAAAAAATCCAGCCTAAGAGAAAACTTAAAAGAGTTTATTTGAGCCAAACTGATGACAATTGCCGGAAAGCAAAATCTCAATGGATTGAGAAAATGCTCTGGAAAATGGCAGTTTTGCAATTTATTTTATATGTTAGAATCAAAGAAGGACGGTTACATGAAATCCACTGGTGGTAGATTAAGGGGGTGGAAGAAAGCAAAGCGGAGAAATCTCTGGGATTGGATTAAAAATAAATTGGCAAGGCAGATACTTCTTTTACATTGGTGAGTACAGGATAGTTAATAGCATTTTACAGCACATAGAGATGGTAATCAAGGGACAAGAACAAAAATTCTGTAGTTCCGTGCTCTGGTGTGGCAGGTTGTGCTCTTCGGGGAGTCCGGAAAAAGGGATTACTCTGACAATCCAAGGGCATGTTAGTTTAGATGCAAAAAGAAAATAGACAGGCTCACTTAAGGTAAAGACTGACCTTTGTCAAGGAAGCTACAGGCCAAGGATGCGACTACAGGCCATGACCCGCTTTTAGTTAGGAATTTTTGCTTTTTAGCTAGGAATTTTTATGTTCAGACCACCCTGTGTGGTTAATTTCGGTCTCTGAATTTGTAAGGAGGCCGCCATGTGGCCTCTCCTGAGCTTGTCAGCTTTAGTATGTGGCGCTTGTTTGTCCACATTCTTCACAAGTACTGTAATTAGGTTTCTAAAGAAATAAGGTTCATTGTATAATAACTTTTATAATAACATAACTTGGAGTTGTATACTTGTTGGCTTTTTTCAGAGACCTGTCATGATCATTTTTCTCATGTGACCCTTGAGTTAAGAGAATGTTAAGACAGGATTGTAATGGTGGCACTAAATCTTCTATTTTTGAGATTTGGACCTCTGGTATAATTCAAATTAATAAATGCAATTTAGCTTGGGAATTTTTGAAAGCTTTTTTTTCTTTGCCTCTTAATGATTCTGCTTCCTGTACATTTACTATGCCGTTTCAGTGTTTCTATTTACTTAGGCCCAATGCTGGCCCTGTAACTTGGGAGAATTTTGCATCTGTATTGGACCACTCTCCTGGCTCCAACTTAAAAATGCATAACTATGCAAAGGTTGAGACAACCAGCTTTACCACACCTTACCCCAATCCCAACTACAGGAAAATATAAAACTTGAGACCAAACAAAGACTGGATGCAGTAGTTTGCAGTAGTTCCCAGCAGTTTCCAGCAGACTCTGCCCAGCCGAACCTTCTCTTACTTTAATAAATCTTCTATATTTCTATCTGACTCATGAATTCTTTCATGGCCCGTGAGCAAACAGACACAACAGAGAGGCTGTATGAATTATTTTCCACATTTTGCTGTGAAGGAAGCTCAGCAGGAAGAAAGCATATCAGGAAAAGCCTCATAGAGGCAGTGACACAGCACTGACACGTAAGACATGTGAAAGGGGTTCCCCGATGGATGAGGGGTTGCTGGCAGAGAGGCAGCGGAAAATAGGGCATGGTGATGGAGGAGAGGGGAGTTCTTTTGTGGGACCAGAATCAATATGTCTGATGCTTTGGGAGTGATGTCGAGGCAAGGCTTTATATGCCAGACTAGGAATTTGGACGTGATTCTCTGGCAGTGAGTTACTTTGAGACAAAGGAGAGTAGTAACAATCAGATTTCAGTTTAGGAAGATCATTATGGCAGTAGTATAGAAGATGAACTCGAAAAATCTTTCGGGCCGGCCAAGTGGCTCGTTGGTTAAGAGTTGGCTTGGGAGTGCAAGCTTTGAGCACCAGGCTGCCGGTTCGGATCCCACATGGGCCAGTGATGCTGCGCCCTCTACAGCTAAGATGGTAAACAACAGCCCAACCTGGAGCTGGGCTGCTGTGAATCGCCGGCGACGGTGTAGGCTGCAGCAGGGCTGCAGTGAGCCATCGTGAGTGGCCGTCTAATGGCCGGTGACCTATCTGCCTTAGCCGGGAAGAGCACAATGATCACAATACCAACATGAGTCATTGAAGTGACATCCTCCACAGCTAGACTGAAGAACCCAATGACAGCAACTTGTCTGTTCCCCTTCCCCGATGCCCCAACGCTTTTCCCTCTCCCAATTCCCCAATAAAATCTTTAAAAAAAAAAAAAAGAAAAGAAAGAAAAATCTTTAGTGGGTAAGGTCAAGATGGTTGATATCTTCAAAACCTGTTGGTCATAAGATCTCAGACCCCAGATGTGGTGGGTAGGAGCACAAGGGGACAGCCAGTTGGGCACTCACTAGCAGCACAGTACTGCCTACAACAAAGCGCCAGGTTTAGACTCAGAAACCCTGGTTCCTGCCAGGCTTTGTCAGATCTGCATTTGTCTTGGAGCATTACCACTTCCTTTCCTTTGGCTTGCCTCTGCATAATGGGAGGATTTGTGTGGCACCAGCTGTACATATGTTAATTAACATGCAGGAGTACTTTTCAGTTGCAAATCAGGATTTGGGGATTAAGACAAATGTGAAGAAGTTACAAGCTGCTCCCAGAATGATATCCAGGGGTAGAGGTTTCAGCAGGCTGCCTAAGCCATAGAGCAGGGTGGATATGGGGATCTTAGAAACCAATTTTAAGTCGCTTCTATCAGAAGTAATTATTCTAAGGACTTCCATGTTTTATTATCTCCTTGAAAAGCAGAGTGTCCCTAAAGATTTATACAAAGATTTAAAGTTTATATTATATTATACCCAGGACTCGCTCTTGAAGTCAGGTGGGAAGCAAAACAAGTTCTGTTCCAACGGTTTGTTATTCTATTGCAAGTATGGAGATTTGACTTCCTTCCAGGAAGAGAACAGGGTGTGATAGACCAGGGATAGTAAACCGAGCTGTTGAAGTGCTTTGTTTCTAGCAGGCTGAACAGGATCTCCCTAGGATCTGAACTTCCTGTATTTAACATAGGAAACCCAAAGAAAGGCACAGTAATCCTTCCCTCCTGATTCTGTAGCTTTTGTGTCAGGACCACTATGATCTGGGTGACAGTATAGTGTTTATTAAGAGAAAATAGATAACCAAAGTTGAACATTGATGTTGACCAGTCACATGTCCAGGAAGTCTGCAATCTTATCGAAAATGCAAATCAATCTTCTAACATGATAGGAAGAGAGGAAATAAGGAAATGCCTGAGTAGAAGCTGGCCAGGAAAATTCTGATGCTGATAAAATGATGGCAATGACGTTTGTTCATTTCTCTAGAAGACAGAAGAAAGTATTTATACAGGAGCTTGGTTTCTAGAAGGTTAACTGTAAAGGTAACTTTTGCAAATGGAATTTCATTTTAATACACTTTAGGAATTGGCCATTCGTTTGAAGGATTTTTTTGAAGACCCTCTTTGTGATAATTCTTTATGCTTCATAGGTTTGTATTTTTTTATATCTCCACCCATCCCAATTTGTTTACCACAACAATCATTTCTAATTTTTTTACAAGCTACATAAATTGGTCTTTGCTTTCTGAAACAATTTGATTATTGTTATTTTTTTCCTAGAGAGAAGCAATTTTTTTGTTCATTTGTGTTTAAACTCTTCTGTTTTCCTCTTTCTCTTCATTGTTATTCTTTCTTTCATTTCTTAGAACATTCAAATGATGAGAAGGCGAGGAATTTATTGACTTTATTATCAACGTATAACCCTGAGAGGATAAGGAAACTGCAACGATTCCACCACCTGCCTCTGGAAATACACATACATCCTGCTGCACTGTAACATGGATCCTGAAATGCCATCATAATACATTCTTTATCTTAGGCTAAGGAGCTTCATGTTTTAAAATACAAACACACTGGAGAATTATTGCATTAAATGGTCTATTAGAGTATAACATTTAATGGAAAATTATCTGATTATTTATCTACTGGCAGTGAGAAGAATGGGAGTTTTAATGGGAGTGTAGGAAAAAAAGGAGTCATCTCAGAATCTGGGGTACCCTTCCAGGAGGACAGGCTTAAGTAAAGGAAAAAGTTCTGGGCTGCCAAAAAGTTGCAATAGGATCATAAATGCCTGGGAAGTATTGTGGAGAAGCTGCTCAGGACTGAAGAAAAGGGGAATGGGAAGCAGAAATAAAGCAAACTTGGATTTCTGCACAATTTAGAGAAGACTGAAATTTCTCAGCATATTTAATTAATGGTTGCCAATCACTGGAGAAGAGAGACCTGAATACAGCTCTATTCCTTACATATTTATTGATCACCCATATGGACCAGGTGTTTTGCTAAGTGCTATTCATACAAAGTAGAACAAGATATTCTTGTCCTCAAAGAGTTTTCATTCTAAGAGGGAAGATAGGCCAAAGGAAAAAAAAAAGATAACTGAAAGTATATTTTCAAGTTGTAATATGTGTAATGAAGAACACAAAACATACACTTTTTATCTTTTTGTTTTCTGCTCTACTCTGCAAAATCTGTAGCAAAACAGGTAAGTTGGTAATGACTGCAGTCTTCATAATCTACAGAATCAAGTGCTGTTGACTTACGTCCTATGTAAACAAATGAACTACACTAATTCAACAATGTGGATAAATCCTAGTAACGAAGCAATAAAACATTAAGTGAAGAAAGTAAATCAGAATATATACAAAATGATATAATTTTTATAGAGTTGAAAACAACTAATATACAAATATACTTTATAGAAATATATAGAGATGCAATTAAAGTATGTATTTTAAAAAGCAAAGGGATCTGGATGGTGGTTATATTGTGTGGAGAAAGGCAAGTAATGGGGTGGGGATCACATGGTTAGATGAAGGTTATATCCAGGTTCTAGCTTTTGTTTTGGGTGGTAGTCCTGCAGGTACTTACAACATTCATAAGAATAATGAAATAAATAAAAACAAAACTAGAAAGCCTGGGTTCTCTAAGAAAGAGCCTGAGGCTGGTGCTTCATTTAGAAAGTACAATCTCAGAGCAATGGTGATAAGGAAGTCCTAAGTTAGGTCCTATGTAAGAAATCCTATGTGGGATTTCTAGGGATAATCTTTCAAAATTCTCAGAACCCTTTGAAATTCTGTAGACTCAACATCATAAACATTGAAGGGCTCCTCAGAGCCAATTCTAAGTAAATAGGTGAGGTTGACCGCTGCCTGCAAAGTTTGATTTTCAGACCTACTTTCTGTTTGTTATCCTCATCCCAACACAATGCCCATCCTCTGGGTACTTTTCCAGAAATTCCAAGGTTGAGAATTCTAATATACTGGCCTAAAGAGAAGAAAACAGAGAAAGGTGGTTAGTTATGGAACTGCTGGTGATAAGGAGAGAGAGGGAAAAGGAATACAATAAAACCTTGGATTGTGAGTGTTTCACAAGACGAGCAAACATTTCTAATATATTTTAACATGGTAAACGAGTGATGTCTTGCAATACTAGTAGTTGGTTTCCAGACGAATTATGCTCACAAACCAAGGTATTATTGTATATCCAGAGCTCCAGAAAACTAACAAGAAAATTGACTGAAACTATTCCACATAGAAGACTGAATTCACAACAATTCCAGATCAGTTGCGCAGTAGAGAGAAGAGATGGAATCGGAAACAGAATTCCTCCTAAACTTAAGGTGCAGTGTGGGGAGCCACTTGAGGTCCCTGCTTGTTCTGCTGTTGGGGGGACTGTAAGTATATACTGTGATAGGCTGCATGCACAGTCCTAAATATCCTTTTATGCATGTGATCACTAAAGTCATTAGAAGTAGCAAGTCAGGTATATGATTTATGTTATTTTTATATCACAAGGATAATTGTGCTATAGTTGATAGAATTCTGAGGGACAATGTAAAATGTATTTATGCCTTGTTCTCACATACCCACTAGTGAAAGAGGTAATAAGAGAAAAAAGGACTAGAACAATCAAGTAAAACTATCTTCTTGTGCCTTTTTTTGTGTGTGCATAGCATTGTTTGGGGGAACACATCCCCCACCCTCATTCCAAAGTATTCCTGTTCAGGCGGTTTGGCCCAAGGATGGGTATGTGATCCAGGATCAGTCAATCAGAATATTTTATCTTCCTAGTCACAGTGACTGGTTCATGAAAGAGTATGTGATATAAGTTTAACCAGTCAGAAGTCTCTCTGGGCATTTTACCAGCTATCCAGAAAAAGACCCTTTCTGTGGGCTCATAGGCTCTAAGAACTCTAGCGGCAGCTAAACTCCATCTTGCAGCCACATGGCATCAAATTGAAGGTGAAACCAAGCGAGACAAATAACGGGTAGAGAGTGGCAGAAGAGAGGTCCCAACTAATACTATATCCGTTCTAAGAGATCCTTGTATGGATAAGCTGGGTGGGACAGGTTTCTACCAGTCTCTGAGAATGGGGCAATCAGGGCTGTGACTCACCGTAGAACCAGTTGTCCTTGTCAGGAGGGGCCAAGCTCTCCCAGAAAATTCACAGTGGAAGGGGAATGATCATAGCAAATAACCATGCTGGGAATTCTTGAAGTTATTTACCTTTGGGTAACTTCAAGCTTAGAGCACCCCACTTTCCCTGAAGTCTTCCTGTGAGCCCCACTGCCTTATATCAGCCTGAATCACCCAATTCACCTGGGAAAATGAGTGAAGAAGACATAGGAAGACCAATAATTTCCAAGACTGATATAATTAGTCTTCTTGTCTTTCTCGTGAATCAGACTTTCAGATGTTTGAAGGCAGGTCCTGTATCTCCCACTAACTATTTTCATGCCTAGCACAGTCCCAGAACTCAACAAGCGTTTAAATGAAGCATTGAATAGTGACTCTAATATGGCATATAGATATAGAGGCCCTGAAATAATCAGCCTGAGGAATACATTGCTTTGGATTAAAGCACTGCCTCTCCAAGCATCCTCTTTAAAAGTGCAAATACCCAGAGGAGACATAAGGTATTTTTTGTCAACCAGCGATTCTTATGTTTGGCAGCTATCAGAACAAGGACAAGTATAAAAGTTGGATTTTAGAAAATACTCTCAGTGTGATAGAAAGGATACAAATTTGTGTAGTTATTTTGGAAAACAGTTTAGCATTACCTCCTAAAATTGAACATTCATATACATAAGACCCAACAATTCACTCTGAGAGACTGACCCAAGAGAAGCACGTGCAGATATACAACAGGAGCAAGAATTTTCATAGCTGCAGTGATCACAATGCAAAAACCCAGAAACAACTCAAATGCCCATCAGGAGAGTGGATGGATGAATTGTGATATGTTCACACAACTGAATATTATGGCAATAAAAACAAATGAACTACACTAATTCACAACAATGTGGCTAAATACTAGTAATGAAACAAACATTAATTGAAGAAAGTAAATGACCAGAATATATACAAAATGATATAATTTTTATAAAGTTGAAAACAACTAGTATAAGAATATACTTTATAGAAGTATATATAGAGATGCAATAAAGTATGTAGTTTAAAAAGCAAAGGAGCTCTGGGTGGCGGTTATATTGTGTGGAGAGAGGGGGGAAATGGGGTGGGGATCACATGGTTAGATGAAGGTTATGTCAAGGTTCTAGCTTTTGTTTTGGGTGGTAGTCCTGCAGATACTTACAACATTCTTAAGAATAATGAAATAAGTAGAAACAAAACAAGAAAGCTTGGGTTCCCTGGGGAAAAGCCTGAGGCTGGCGCTTCATTTGGAAAGTACAATCTCAGAGCAATCATGGTGAGGAAAAAGTGAAGGGAGGCAGGGAAGGATGGGAATCAATTCCAGGGGACGCCTTAACATTGCTTCACAAAGAGCTCTGAAGACACGGCCAATAAGTCGGCAGTTGTGTCTGTTCAGCTACATGGCAAGTCTTCATGGAGGATGTTCAGAGAGACGGTGCCTTGGAGCATCCTTGGGAGGGGGGAGGAAGAGGAAAATTGTTGTGGGTCTCTCCAATGGGAAGCGACTTTCCATGGGCACCACTCTGGGTTGCTTCTCTGGCCCGCCTCTAGGTGGCAGAACCAGATCTCACCGCCTGTGTTTTAGGTTAAGTCCTGAATGGTGGGAGGAGCCAAAATCTCAGGGCCTGTAGTTGTTTTTTTAAAAAGATTTTTATCAGGCAATTGGGGGATGGGAACAGTGCTGGGGAAT